AATACTATGGTCTGAAATGTGAGTAAATTGTTTACACTTGTTTAATATGAGAGAAGCATATTGTGGAAAGTGTTTTGGCAGCATGACTATTGTCAAATTGACAGCCTATCAGTTCGCATGATCTCATGACAGTTAATGGGATGTAGCCATCAATGACCACCAAACACCTTGAAATTCAGTATTGCTTTCTATGTGAGTGACCAAGTATCAAAATTTACCAGCCAACTGCTTGCGAGCATGCTGCATCCTTTCTTCCCAAGTTTATTGGAATAATGGACAAATGTAAAAGACTCTAAAAGATTCAAGGAAAGAAAAATGAAAATCGAGTGTATGAAATGCAATTACTGCCAGCATTTACAACATATTAGATCAACCGGCCAATGTCACAAATAAAAGACATCTACATAAGAAAAATAAATTCATTGTTCAAGTTAGGTTTGATTCAGAACATTGATGTTTACCAAGGAACCCAAACCAAGAATGATTAAGCTCTCTCCCTAAAAGGGAATGTTCAGGCAGAAAGAAAAGTAAAGGCACTAAAACATATCAGAGGTATTTAACTAACTACGAACATAGACAGCAGAAAAAACAAAAAACGAGCAGACAAAGGTTATCACTGCTGGTTTGATTGTTATGAAGATTTATCAGGATAAAATCCTGAAGGACGGTGAGACTGAAATGGCAATAACTTACTGAATGAAAACTTGTTCCTCTCTTTGTAAATGCGAGCAACCGCTTTTCACCATCCTGTAGACATAAAGGAACAGAGAGCAGGAAAAAAAAGTCAAAGGAAAACTATGAGAAAGGCCTCCGAAATCCATTCTTTGACATTTGAAGATGGACAAACCTGTTGCCTGAAATAGTCTTGGAACTCTGCCCATGAGCTGTGAACTTTAACAACCACATATCTAAAATTGGAAGTTAATTGTTAAAAATAAGCAGAATTTTCATGTGAAATTAAACGCATCAAGAACATTGATTATACAAGAAGTAAACATGGTAAAACTGTGTAAAGCCATTGGACAATTGGAATTTACATAACAGAACCAGTCGAGATAACTTCAGCAGTGTCAAGAAACAAAGGCATGCATGCAAAACCTTGCCTAGACTAGAAGTGTATCTTGGAAGAAAATTAAAAAAGGAGGGTGAGTCAAAAGTAAGATGAGGAAATGACGTGCAATTTTACAGTAATGATAAAACCATTGATATCATGGCTTTCAGATTTTATGTATGTGCATAGCTAATTCACAGATTAATAAAAACATCATTCTGAAATTCTATTTTCACTAAGTACTCAATAAAGTTACAGAAGAAATGAACTATTTAACATTATCTTTTGATAAGAAACAAGAAGCAACATATTTAACATATACTAGGAATTGTTAGGATACGGCCAATAGTCCAATCCAGCTCGCTTTAACTTTGCATCATCAACCTTGAATCCTAATGGCTAATGAAGAACAAAAGCATGTAAGTGACTAGTACAGGACAATTGTATTTTCTTTTTTCTTATCTCATCTATAAAGAATAGAATAAAGATTAAAGGGAAACTGAACGCAAATAGACAATAAATACCCCAACTAGGTGAAGTCCAACAGCTGATGCTGCACATGTTCTGGCAATGCAACCTGTATTTCCAGGAATCTGCCAAGGACAATAGAAATCTCAGAGCCAGCCTCGTGAAATTGAGAGATTCGTGACCTAAAGGAAGAGGTACACAAATTATACTCTTTGAGTCACCACATTTTCCAGCAACTGAAAAGTTTGGGTAAGATTAGAATAACTTAATATAAAAAGAAAAGGTAAGATGGGGAAGTGCCATGCACAATTAGGATTTCAATATACCCTTTTTTTCATGTAAAAACTGAGAGTTCAAGAAAAGAAAAGTT